CACACCATTTTTGTGGGAGCCTTATGTTCTTTTAAACAATGTAAATATGTCTGCAAGTGATGGAAAGGAGAGTAAAATACAGGAGAACAAATTACAGCTCAGGGAGAAAAACCTGATCAAACAGTAAAGTTGATCAGAGCTTACTAGCTAGAGAAAAAGGAAGGGGGCGGGAAATGAGCTACTGAAAGTTCCTCTTTATGGGGTGTGTGTGTTTGTGCAAAGTGAAACACACTTTGTTTCAATATTTCACTTTTCTGTATCTGTACCATGGTTTTTCAAACTTAACAACTTTCAGTTATGTGAATTCCCAGCACTCTGATTTATACTCCATCCATTACTATTATTGTGAAGAACTGAAGTGACTTTGTTTACAATAAAGTGATATATTCTCTGTCTCTGTCTGTCTCTGTCTGTGTCTGTGTCTGTGTCTGTGTCTGTGTCTGTGTCTGTGTCTGTGTCTCTGTCTCTGTCTCTATCTATCTATCTATCTATCTATCTATCTATCTATCTATCTATACAGTATATTTATTTTGAGCAGTGTATGTATATAACAGAAGCCTGATGATGGCAGATGAGATTCTGCCGAAACGTTGCTACAACTTTAAAAGCACAACTACAATGACGTGGGAAAATACCCGAACAAAGCTGAATACCATACATGTAAGTACCCGCGAAAACTTAAGAATGAATATATATATATAAAGAATGTTGACTTGGGCCTAAGAAATAATCCAATGTCTTTAAAGTACATAGAATATTAAGTTAGTAATAAAGCATGTTGCAGAAATCCATCCACTTGGACCCTTGGAATCATGCTGATAAAAATCACAATGATTGATTCCTTCCTTCCTTCTTTTCCTTCCTGTCCAACCTGCTGAAAAAAATCATGATAATCTTTCCTTTCCTTTCCTTTCTTCCTTTCCTTTCCTGTCCTTTCTCTTTCATTCCTTCCTTCCTTCCAGCCCAATCTGCTGAAAAATATCACGACAATCTTTCCTTTCCCCTTCCTTCCTTCCTTCCTTCCTTCCTTCCTTCCTTCCTTCCTTCCTTCCTTCCTTCCTTCCTTCCTTCCTTCCCTCTTCTGGAATTCCTGTCCCACTTCAAATCTTCTAGGCATGAATACCCTTGACTTCTGCCTGACCAATTCTGTTAAAACCAAGCCAAAGAGGACTGATGGTTGCATAGCAACTTAGCAAATTGGATCACATGCTCAAGCCACAAAAGAGAATTATGCAAAGATGAGCAGAAAGTGCTGTGTTCAGAAGCATGAATAGTCAAAATCCCCAAACCCACACAGCCTTCTTTTCTTCTTCTTCTTCTTCTTTTTTTTCAGCCGTCTTTGCAGGCAGGCGTTTAGATGCGCAGAAACTCCGGCACAAGTCAATGGTGGCGAGCAGAGATTCAAGTAAAGAGGCTGCGTGTGGTAAGAGGCAACTAACTTTCCAAGCTCTATAAATAGTTCTGCAGCATAATGTGTGATCTCTTCCTATCTGATGTTCGCAAGGAAAATATGTTTTTTAAATGGAGATCTCGGGCAGTCACAAGATCTGCAAAAGGCTGCCTGCCGGGCTTTAGATTTTAAAAGTACGGAACATGACGGTTACTAGGGAGGAAGCAGGAAGTGATTTCTGAAAAAAGGAGGGGGAAAAAAAGCAATTCAAAAGAGAATCCTAAAGAACCAAACTTAAGTGAGGAAGCTGCTGAAAGGGAAGGAGGGAGGGAGGCTCTTTAGCAGGAGAAACAAAAGGCGGTGGGGGGAATTCTTGCAAGTTCTGACGTTGCAGTTTCGCAAACAAAAGGTTTTAGTTCATTTAATAAACCGTGGTTTAATAAACCGGTTCACTGATGTGTGAATCCAGGCTGATATTCTTGCGTTCCTGAATGGAATCCCTGTTCGCTGCCATTAGCTAATACTGAAGCCAGCCAAGAAACTGATCTTGAAAGAAAATTAGGATATAAACTAATGCAAACCATGTAAGAACCAGAAATTGGCAGAGAAATAATAACACCATCCAAAATGGTTCTTACAACAAATAGTGCTTACAACTTACCACATAAGTTATCTCCCCCATGTAGCTTATGTCTCCAGATAGGCAGTGCTGTTGCAAAAAGTAATGAACAATGCAACACAAATGGTAAGTTTTCAGGGTGTTGATAATACCAACCTCCATCTCATTTAAGATAATTTCTTCTGTTCCTGGGACAGACTGGCAAAATTCAGTCTGGATTTTAGTTGTCAATAGTTGTCACTCAAGAGCTCACATTCCGGACATATTTTGGGGGTGCAGAAAATAGCCTCATTTTTGTCTCTAAAGCAGAGGGGGTATTCAGCAGCTTCTGACTAGTTCTGGAGAACCGGTAGCGGAAATTTTGAGTAGTTCGGAGAACTGGCAAATGCCACCTCTGACTGGCCCCGCCCCCATCCGTTCTCTGCCTCCCAAGTCCCAGCTGATTGGCTGGGTCTTCTTTTGTGGTCATGCACAGGAGAACAGAGCTGGAAAGCAGGTTAGTGGGGTGGGGAGGGAATGGGATTTTGCAGTAACCTTCCCCTGCCACCTTTATCAAACCATGCCCACCAAGCCATGCCACACCCACCAAGCCACACCACGCCCACCAAGCCACACCCACAGAACTGGTTTGGTAGTAAAAAAATGTGAATACCACCACTGCTCTAAAGGCAAAGATTCCAAGAAACGGGATATATTTTGAATGCATATTTGTTTGCCCCGGAAGTTATCATCCTCCAGCAGGATAGATACGATTTTTGCAGGACTTTCTTCTTCTTCTTAATTTTGCAGGACTTCTTAATTTTTGCAGGACTTTCTTCTTCTTCTTGGCATATTGCCCTGTTTGGGATGTGCTGTCAGGAAGATGGTTCTCCTACTGGGAAAAAAAAGAGACATAACTTCAAAGGCCAAAGTTTGTGTAGGGATGACTCCTCTAGCAACTCAGTCATCGATTTTGATAAATAAATAATGCCTGGCTACAAAGCTGCATTGACTGAGTTAATACAAATAAAACCGAATGTACCTCAATGTCTTCCAAAAAATTATCCTATATACAAAAAAAAATAAAATCCATAGGCATTCAGTTCAAGTCACAATGATGTTACACAAATTATAATCAGAGTGACATAAATCTCACTGTATACAATGCAAATGGAGACTTTTAACGCTAGGAAAAGTGACTTGTATTGGTGGGATAATTCAAACTTAAATAAAACATTAGTTCTTCTGTTTTAATAAATCTCGCATGGCTTCCCCATTTCCCTGCCAACTTTTTAATTTCCTATCAAGTTTACTTACTTAGCTATCTGTCAAATTGCTATTTAAAAGTGGGTAACGTATTACCAAAGACCACTACTAATAAGTAGGTTCAGAACACGAACTGCCCAAGATGCTTCTGTGTAGATTTACAACATAGTAAATAAGTAAGCAAGTACATAAATATTTCTTTTAAACAGCATAGTCATCCCATTTTCAGATATCCCCACAATGCAAAAATACCTATAGATTTTAGTTTTTTCCAGCAAATACTTCCTGGAAATTCTGCGTTAAGAAATACTACGTGTTGGGAAATTCTGGGCTAATTTTCCAAGCATTTTATGGAGATAGGAACTTCTAAAAAGGAACTTGAACTAGCTTTTGCTAGGCTTTTTCCTACACCCCAATATCAGGACCTCACAGGCTCTTTCACTCTTAAGTCAAAAGCAATGTTTACACAACTCCCATTCTATTAAAAAAAAAAAACAGTTTACAAGTCACAACAGCTCAGTGAAAATTAAACAAGCCTATTATGTATGAGTTTGTTGTCTAACCTTGATCATCTCATTAAGCCATGCGCTGACATTGCATGTTACAGATATAGTCCTTACAACCGCTTGGTTGTAACTTACAACCACTTGGACTGCCATTTGTCAGAAATGGTGTAGGGCAGAGGTCTCCAACCTTGGCCACTTTAAGACTTGTGGACTTCAAAGCTTTGCTGGCTGAGGAATTCTGGGAATTGAAATCCACAAGTGGCCAAGGTTGGAGACCCTTTAGTGTAGGATCTCCTGCTTGGGTGGGGGGGGGTTGGACTAGATGACCTACGAGGTCCCTACCAACTCTTGTTAATCGGTAAATACAGTCACTTTTTGTGACCTTCCCAGAAGCAAAGTCAGTAAGGAAGCCAGATTAACTTCACAACCGAGTTCCTAACTTAAAACAACTGCAGCCATTCATTAACACCTGTGGCCCAAAATTTCTGTAGGCAAAGAAAGGCGAAGTTAACTTTGCCCTATTTTACGACCTTCCTTGCCCACAGTTGTTAAGTCGAGGACTACCTGTAAAAAAAAAAAAAAAAGGCCTGGCTCTGTAGCCCCGAAGGCACTCAAGATGTTAAAAATCTCAGGGGCTTTTAAGGGGAACCTCGTGAAAGAAACGCGCAGCGGCGGCCGAGCTCCAGCGGCAGGGCAGCGCCTCTGAAAAAGTTTCCAAAGTGGCAACTTCGGCTCTGGTTGGCGAGCCGGGCCAAAAGCGAGGATGCTTCGGGCTGCGGAGTCGGGGCGACCGACGGTGGGGTCCAGACCCAACCCCGCGGCACCCAGGCAAGCGATGGCCAAGGCTTCGCGCGGGCGTTGCCTGCCTCCACTCTACATCCGGGGCTGGCTTTGGCGAATGGGAAGCGTTAAGGAACCCGGAAAAGGAAGGAAGGAAGGAAGGAAAAGAAAGGGAAAGAAAGGAAGGAAGGAAGGAAAAGAAAGAAAAGGAAAGGAAGGAAGGAAGGAAAAGAAAGAAAAGGAAAGAAAGGAAGGAAG